GTAATTCAATAAATATATATTACAATTCAAATGTGCCATGGAAAGGTGTGGAACAGAATGGTACCTATGTAATTCAATAGATATATATTACAATTCAAATGTGCCTTTGAAGTTTTCTTAAAAATTGCCACGAACTTTCTGGACAACCTAATATTTACTATAGAGAATAGAGAATAAGGAAGACTAACTCTGTGTGTAGAAAAGTGTCTCTCGATAGTCGAACATTTCAGACTGCCCTGGAAATATTAAAAGGACAGAGTCCTCCTTATCTCTACCCTCAATATTATTTACTCATTCGAATAACGAGACATTTATTCGCACTGATGTGCCTTGATCGAAATGGATGCGGTGTCGATTCACGACGAATGGTGATTCGAAATTTCTCAAGCGTTTTACAGAGACGCAACCACCGAGACCGCTACTCGGGGACGGTGACTGCGAGGAGAAGCATTTGGCTTGCGGTGACGGTACGTGCTTTCCGGCTGCATACTTTTGCGACGGGAGCGTTGACTGTCCCGATGGCTCCGACGAAGGCTGGTGTGGTAAGGAATACCTGCGAGTTCATTGCTTGCAAACACCCTTTCACGACCAAACCATTGCAAAATGTGACCTGTAATTGTAGTTCAAAATTATATCTTATACGGTAGAGCCTCATTTATAACTAGATCGCTAACGAAGCCTCAAGTACATGGCCTTTAAAAATATGTACTACAGAAACCTACTCAGATTCTATTATCTAAATTCTAAACCATGGTCGAGTTTGGAGGTCCATGGTGAAGGTCTCACGAAGAGTATAGCTAGTGGACCTCTATTACATGAACAATTCAGTTATAGAAACTCCCTTCATCATTGGTTGCATTGGTTGCAAACACACTTTCACGTCCAAACCATTGCAAAATGTGACCTGTAATTGTAGTTCAAAATTATATCTTATACGGTAGAACCTCATTTATAACTAGATCGCTAACGAAGCCTCAGTACATGGCCTTTAAAAATATGTACTACAGAAACCTACTCAGATTCTATTATCTAAATTCTAAACCATGGTCGAGCTTAGAAACTCCCTCTAGAAACTCTAGAAACTCCCTTGTCCCCAGACCTGTTCGTATAAGTTCTACTGTACTTGTACTTGTTTACTTGATCACACTTTGCCCAATTCTTACAACAAATCGCTGGATCTCTACCCTGCGATCATCGGGGCTCTACTGTACCAACGATCAATTTGCAGACGTTCGAAACGATCCGAACGGCGCGTTACCCTGCAATCCAAAGGAATGCCAGTTGCCAAATTGCTGGTGCTCCGAGGACGGAACGAAGATTCCTGGTAACTTGACGGTATCGACGATCCCTCAGATGATAACGATCACTTTCGACGACGCCGTGAACGCTGAGAACTTCGAGCTTTACGCCAGTAAATGTCGACGCTGTTTTACCAAATAAGCGCATCGGGAGAAAGTCGTACAGGCTGATCTCGATTTCTGATTTTGCTTACAGAAATATTTTCCAACGACAGGAAGAACCCGAACGGGTGCCCCGTCCGCGGTACTTTCTACGTCAGTCATCAGTACACCAATTACAGGGACGTGCAGTATTTGTGGAACGTTGGACACGAGATCGCCGCGCACTCTGTCACGTGAGAATTCTTCACGCTTCAAAACAAACAGCGTTGACCCTTGGAAACAGTGTTTCTCAAGCTTGACCTTCCCACGGACTACCACCATAAATTAATATTTTTAGAAGACTAGGAGTTGAATTAACTGTCTTTCTTTTTCTTTATTTATAGTGTGGTCCTAATGGACCGTTTACACTTTTCCTGTAAAATTATATTTGAGTGATAGTACTCTCGGGCTATTAACACTTTTCTTGATCCGGTCTTGCTTGTACAGTTCACAAGCTTACACATACATGTGTGTTTACAATTCACCTGTCTTACACATACGTGTTTACAATTCACCAGTTCTACACATATGTTTTTTTTTTCATTACATTTACATTACATTTACATTTACAATTCGCATCGACAATCCTTCACACATCTGTTCAACACATTCTGTTGGGGCCCGCTGACCCCCCTCTAGCTCGGGTACCTCGTGGTGCTAAGCCCGTACTGTATGTAGCTACAAACACCGCTACAGCCCCCGAGGGGATGAATTAACTTATTGCGTTTTCAATAAATCTTGATAAAATGAAGTTAACGATGAGGAAAATGTGTTGCACGCTGTCCTCGTAGCCACAGTACGGGTTTAGCGATCCCGAGGTAACCGAGTTATAGAGGTAGGGATTAGGCATACCTAATGAGGATTCCAGAAAATGATGAGAAGTATCTAGGCAAATGCAAATGCAAAGATTAAATGAATCTAAAGAAGGAATAAATGTTAGACCGGTAGATTATGTGTTATAGTCGAATTATATGGTTTGGTACCCTTATAAATAAATCTGACTCACTCTTATTGCGCTCATTCAGATTGTTAGATAATCTAGTAATATGTAAAATAGAAAGTACTAATTCAATCAGGTCAACGAGCCATTAACGACACCATGAAAGTTCGTTGACTGACCGCGGTTATTTAAAGGTTAAATGACTTGTAAATATTAACCATTCAATTTGGTTAAATTGCATAGGCATCGTGGGCCCGAGGAGTGGTGGTCACGAAATGCCACTATCGAGGACTGGTTTGATGAGATGGTTGGTGTGGCAAATATCATCAATAAATATGCTGGAGTTAGGCTGAAAGACATCAATGGTGAACGATACTTTCTCTACTTTGGTATTACCTCGAAAGATGTTCGTATTCATTCGAGGTTCGACGAACAGAATGAGTCATCCACTAATGAAAATTTTAATTTCTATATTTTACAACCAATGAATCGACGAGGATTTCCTGATGAAAATGAGTCCAAACACGACCTCGATCGGCCTAATTCAAATAGTTCGAGTGACAGTATCGCGAGTACCGTGCGCCAAACAAGTATAACTAAAAATAGTCCGAATGAGGTCGTGTTTGGACTCATTTTCATCGGTTAAACCTCGCCAACCTATCGATAGTATTCTAATAAAGTTTTAATGAAAATCGAGGACCCAAAATTGTGGTTGGAACACTTATCCAACTGTGAACTATGCTTGTTGACACTACATATATTGTTCTATTTTTAAATATAACGATACATATTACTCAACCATTAATACTATTAGATAAACGAACATCTTTCAAGGAATTATTATATCGCGTTTTAGTATCAAATAATTCTTAATAATGTTTTCTCTCGATAGGTTTAAGGGCGCCCTTCTTACGCGTCGGTTGGAACAGGCAATTTCTGATGATGTCGGAATTTGGCTTTGTCTACGATTCTTCCATGCTGGTCCCCTTTTCTAATCCGCCTATTTGGCCCTACACGTTAGACTACAGACCTCCTCACGATTGCATAGGTCCTGAGCAACTCTGTCCAACTCGTTCGTATCCAAATCTCTGGGAACTTCCACTAAATCAACTTTTGGCAGATGTAAGTTGGCCAAGCGTTACGAAATAAGTCTTGTTTACGATTCGTTTCTGAAAATATCTCACTGACATGTCGCGGTGTGGTAACGACATCATGAATTTTTTCTCTTTGATCTATTAGGTATAAACAACGATCGAACACCATATTATAATATTATATTATAATATTCAGTATGTTATTCTCATTAATTATAATGACGCGATGATATAATACTCATTTTGTAAAATAAATATGATAGAACATCGTTTATTAGAAATATGTCTGCACGAGGATGGATTCATGTTCACCGAATTTATCGGGCGAAGATGTGTACAACATTCTGATGTTCAACTTCAAAAGGCATTACCTCAGCAATCGTGCTCCACTGGGTCTACATTTACACGCATCTTGGTTTCAGAATCCAATGTACTTTTACGTCTTGACTGTAAGTTACTTTTTAGGGTACCATTGTATAATAACATCATATTTTATCGTATCGTTAAATAGGATTCACTTGTCTTTGAATGCTTTAGAAATTTATGGACGACGTACTCCGTTTGAATGACGTGTATTTCGTGACGAGCTATCAAGTCATCGAATGGATGCGTAAGCCAACGTCCTTAGACACCATCGAGAGTTTCGAGCCTTGGCGATGTGACAAGCGAGAATTTAAGTCATACGAAATTGCTTGCGATTTACCTAGCAGTTGTAAATTACCTAGCAGAGTACTCAAGTCGTATCGTTATTTAAATACATGTTTCGAATGCCCCAAAGAATATCCATGGCTGAGAAACGAGTTTGGATCGGAATGAAAAGCATACATAGTATCCAATGAATACCATGCCATGATTATATCGTAAATGTTACGAGATTGAGTTGTGAGTACAACAATTTTATACACAAAAAGAGGTTGAAATTATTTATTTAAAAATTACTTATACTTATATATTTATAAGAAAATCGCGTTTATTTACTATATAAGTTTACATAGTTTATAGTGTAAAATAAATTATGTCCATTCCCATTACAAAAACGTTCTTCGTTCACTATACTTGATGAACTAGATATCTTGCAAAATAAAATATTTTGCTTTAATCTGAAGTATCACAATTGGAGAAAAGAAAACGAATTTGATTAACCATCCTGTTGTATGAAAGGATTCTGAATAGATTCCATTCCATCTACTGGACAGATTAATACTACAGAGGTGCCCCTGCATACAACTAAGCCGAGCATTCGAGTATCTCGGTTCAATTTGTATGGATCATCAGGATCTAGCAACACAAAGTATATAGTAAGCAATTACACTATGCTGTTATTAAATCTATTAATTTACACAGCTCATGAAATTACCTTTGAGATATTCTGTAGTATTATCCAGCACCAAGTTAAGAAGAGGATCGTATCCTTTCAGAATTCCTGCAGCTTCTCGTCCCCCAGCGAATTTCACTCTAATATTTTTCTCCAAGTATTTGGACAAATCGAGAATGCTCTCCTTCTTCTTTCTTTCTTTAGATTCCCCGTGGGCGTTTTGTTGCTACAAGAAACACAAGACATTGACGTATTTGAAGGTTATGTTGACGGTGTAAGACAACTTTACCTGTTTCCCCGCCTGTAAAAAGAAACGTAGAAATCAAATTACTTTCTCGACTCGTCATCGATAAGCTTTCAGTATCGAAAGCATTTCTTTTTTCTTATACTTACGGACATTGTGTATTTTTCTTGGAAATCAGAAATGTCGGATTATCGGATCTGTATACGAAAAGGTCGCATTTTAAGTCAGCATTTATTTTGTAGGTTAGATTCAGTGTTTCTCAAATTGAAAAATTAAAGGGCTCTCCTAACCTAGAATTATTTATTTAATAATTTTGACGATTGCTTTCTTAAAATTTGCGGATTAGGAAAAATTACGATTTCCGTGGCGCCGCGCTTTGATCACGTTTTTATTTAATATAATTTATCAGAAAATAATTCTGTAAACTGGAATTCCCTGTTACGTTTAGTTTATAAATTATGTTTATTATAAATGTGATATTATCATACTTAAATGAATGCAACTTCTACATTAAACGTAATAGAGAATTACGGTTCTAATTTCTAACGAGATTGTTTCCTCGAATACTAAAGCTGTTCATAGGAAGATAAAGTTTGAGAAACACTGGAAAGGCTACGCTGAGGTTTGAAATATCGATTCTCGATTCTTTCCCGCGCTTTAGATAATCACTCAAAGTTAGAGCAACGTTAGAATACCGATCGCCATTGGACGAATCGAACGGAAAACGGCACGGAAATGAGGAGACCATGTGAGTAAAGTATAAAGATAATTCCAACATTTTTATTAATAAACGACGATCGTCGTGTCAAATAGCAACAACGGGAATATACGGTAACAGGTGCAACGATCTCGTAAAAGCTTGGACTTTTTATTTGTTATCTGATTTATAAAAAAATACACGTTAATACATGGTGTGTACGTGAATGACGTGGTACAGTTTTAAAGTGACTGCTTCTCGTTACGTCTTAAAGAATAAAGTCTGTGATTAGTTGTAACAAATGTTCGTTAAATCCTATGATTATGAATGAAGGGGGGGGGGGGCCACCCTCACGATGACACCGTAAAATTGATCGATTCTTCCCGGCGCCTGTATTGATCGTTTTCTCCATACATGTCGATCCTTCGCGTCGTTCGAATTAAAATTACCTATATAACGACCCTCTGTAATCGTTGTGCTTGCGATAAGTCTTCGTTTAAAACGAATTCTTTCTTCTCTACCGCTTGACGGAATTTGATATTGTACGTTGACGCATGAAATCATCTCTCTCTCTCTCTCTCTCTCTCTCTCTCTCTCTCTCTCTCTCTCTCACATGTTACTGTTCCATTCACGCTCGGACACGCGCTATTTTTTTTTTTTACTCGTATATTGTCCTTAACTTCTTTCTGGCTGGCTGCTTTTGGATGGACACTGTATTACTGTGTACGATTAAAACTTATCGATGCAACAACTAAGGTTTCTTAACTTATCTTTTACGTTTCGTTTAAGTTACGCGAAAATTGAATTCGATGTATCAAATGCACTCTTCGACTCAAAGTTGGCCGTTATTTGAAGAAACTTTGATCCAAATAATCATTCTGATAAAGTATTTTCGTAGTTATTCGTTATTCGTACAGTTAATGAAGTTTCGTCGAGATGTGATTTTAGTAGTATTTGTCGCATTTTTGGGTTTAACGTGTTTTTTTTTTTT